AAACATTGTTAGCATAGTCAAAAATTCTGACTTGATGTGTGCTGGATTTTGTTGTTTCTTCTTTCATCACCTTGAGGCAGTTGTCTGTAAATGTTTCGCCAGAATTCAACACAGCACTCCACTTTGAACCCTATTCAGCAAATAAAGATCACAGTCTATAATATGTTGCCCTTACCAATACTGTAATAGGAAAATTACGTGTGCCTTTAAAGATAGCATTCATTGACTCAACAAGGTTGGTAGTCATGTGACCCCAACGTCGACCCCCGTCAAATGCCCTTGTCCATTTTTCGGCTGGAATATTGTCAATCCACCTTAAAGCATCTGCATTTTCCATGCCAATCTCTGACCGATAGTAATGAAATGTTGGTTGGTTTAAAGCGTACCTTGAATAATTAAAATATCAATCAACGAAGGACAAAAAAATGATATATGTTATTGACAAAATTTAATGAATATTATAAAATATAGTTACCCATGTTAATTATTTTTTTCCGTAGGTTCTTGTCCTTGATTTCTCTCATAAAATTTTGTGCAATGTGTCGGATACAATAAACATGCACTGATGGGGGGTCATGCCAACCATTTTCCACATTGTTGTATGCACTTTCAATTGATGCATGTTGGTCTGAAATTAAACATAGATCTGGTTGTGGCGTAACATGCCTCCTTAAGTTTCTCAGAAAAAACCCCCAACCTTCAGTGGTTTCACCTTCCACAAGGGCAAAAGCAACAGGAAATATATTGTCGTTGCCATCTTGTGCCACTATGATAAGCAGTGTACCCTTGTACTTACCGTATAACCAGGTTCCATCAATTTGAAGTATAGGTTTGCAATAGGCAAAACCTCTGATGCATGGTTGGAATGCCCAGAATAGCCGGTGGAAGATGTGTTTCCCTTCAACAATAGTTTCCCTTCAGCTGTATACATGGGTAGTGTTTCTATTTCCAGCACAGTGCCCGAAACAAATTTTTTAAGTGCTAACAGAAAATGTGGAAGTTCATTGTATGAGCTCTCCCAGTTACCGTACACCTGTTCAATTGCCTTATTTCTTGCTATCCATGTCTTTCTATAAGACAGAGTAAAATTGTATTCAGAAACAATTTTGCTTATGCAAACACTAACCTTAATAGAAGGATCCTTGTCTACAAAAGGAATTAATTTCTGAGACATTAACTGCGAGGTTAGTTTTGATGATCCTGATTAAACAAAGTTGTTGAACAACTATGGGGTGGGTTCATAATGCCTATCTCCCACAAGTCACTTATTTTTCGGTAGGACGCCAATAGACAAAACTTGCAGGAATCATTCTTGCAACAAATTATGTATCTCTTCTTGTCGAAATTTGTCACTTTATAATCCACATAGTGTTTCATGTGGTATTGCTTAATGGCAGCGACACAGTCAGCTTTATTTTTAAATTGGTTACCGACTTCTATGTCACCCTTCATTAGAATATGAGGATTATATGGCGAATCAAATAATGTTCTTTCTACATTTAGCGGCAGGGTTGTCATATGCGCCGGTGGGATGAATACATTCTCAACTGGAATGTATTGTTCATCTCTGCTGACTTTGTTGACACTGTTCCCTTCCTCAAACAAAGTAGTAAATAAATCATCAACATGTGCCTCGTTTTCTTCTTCGACGTCTTCTTCTTCAACATCTTCGTGTGGAATTATGGATGGATTGATGACCTGAGAAATTTGAGTTTCTTGACATTGTACAAATGTTACATATAATTCAATGTGCTGAAACCCAAAACGTTCATGATTCGAGAACATTGTTTCAACATCCTCGTCGTCACGAACCTTTATTGGAACAAATTTAAAGCGATGGTCCCCGAAATGGACAGCATTTTTGTACGTAATCTGTGACACTGATCCAGCTTGCACCTTCATCTGTACCCTATCTTTAAAATATTGAAATGACGATCTTTTATTAACACTGAAACGAGTTACGTCAGTGTTTTCAAAGATCAAACCGACTTCATTTGATACAACAACACTCCCATTGAAATGAGCATTAACAATATATTGTTGGCTAGTAGACATTATGTAAGATGATAGTATGAAGAAATAGTTAAGATAGTAGAGCTAAATAATTGAGTAGAAATAGAAATAAATATAGAAGAATAAGGAGTAGAAATGAATGTTTGAGTAGTTTAAATAAATCTTTGAAGCAATACTGTTAAAATAAATAATTCCATGCATGCAAATAATATTGTTGGACGTTGGAGGTACAAAACAGTTGGTCAACGAAGGCATAATAATGCCGCCCATTGAATGGGCGGTTGTCAGTAAAATTAAAAGCTTGCCGCCCATTGAAAGTGCGGTTGTCGGAAAAGTTATAATGGCATGCAGACGAATTAAAAGCTTGCCGCCCATTGAATGCACGTGAGTCTGAAAAGTAATAAATTTGTCATACTCAATGTCGTCCATTAAGGCAACGACTGTCAGGTAAAAAGCAACAGTGCCGCTCATTCAGTCAACGGTTGTCAAGCAAAAAACAACAATGTCGCCCATTGAAAGGGCGGGAGTCATAGGCATTAAAAGAGGTCTGCTCCCATGCGTGCAGACACATACAAGACCTAATTTTATTTTACCAACATACCATTTAATTTCTACATACCTATAAATACCATTTTGAAAAATCTTCTACATACCTATCTTACAATATAATTCTACTACCATTATAATCTTCTACATACCTATGTTACAATATAATTCTACTACCACTCTTACTCTTAAAAGGTCACTCAAAATGGTTTTACTCACCTTAGGAGATGACCATCGCGGTACACTTGAAAACATTGCATCTTATGTAAGTTAGTTTATATTTATTTACATAATTCACTTTAGTTACATTCAAATAATTTACTTATGATGTTACTTATTTTTAATGTTAGTTACATTCTAATAACGTTATTTAAAATATTTTTTTTATAGGATGAAAAAAATTTCAAACCACGCTCACATAAGTATATAGAGCCTGATGAGGTTTGTAGAAGCACATCTCAATCTCAAGGTTTTGATGATGTCAACAAAGACTCAAGCTCATTTCATGATTGCAAGCAAAAAGTCAAAGCTTTCAAAACTGATCAAGATCAAGATTTTTACACTATATACACGTGGGGGTATATGTACTAAGAAGCTGCTTGCACTATATACCCGTAGGGGTATATACACTGAAGATAAAACCAGAAGCATATCATCTATGGAATGTTGTCAATCAAAGCAAGCATCATGTGCAAATGTTCCTACAACTTTCAAGATTTGGACTCAAGCTATGGTATATCAGTATTCACTCCTTTAATTGATATACAAGTGTTCAAATATTTTAACATGATAACATATTCCATTTGCATGTTTTTAAAATTATTTGAATTGGTATAACACTTTTTAACTCAAGCATTTTTCTGAGTTTTAACAGTGTTAACCGATTAACCATATGGGTTAATCGGTTAACGGCCTCAAATTTTAAATTCTCAGGGCCAACGTTCAAGTGTTAACCGATTAACCTTTATAGTTAACCGATTAACACTGAAGGAATTTTGAAAAATTGTTGCTGTTAAAATTCAAATGTTGTTTGAATATTATACCTTTTCATGTTTTGATTCTTACTCAATTATACCTTTTTGAAATGGTGTTTTGCTCATATAAATTCTGAAAATTTCAAATTGAAAAACACCTCCAATAATTTTCAAAATATTCATTGAATCAAATTCACTACTTTTCAAATATTTTCAAAAAGTGTTCATATTGTTCATACATTTCATATCCTGAATTTTGAACACTTGTGTTGATATTGACGAGTGGATTTTGATCAAAAGGAGAAGATCAATCATTAGATTGATATTATCATTGTATCACTTTCAGAATTACAAAAATACAAAGTTATTTCTATTGTGACTTGTGATACAGGATTGTTGGACACAAGGGTTAGTGTTTGCAAGAGGATTGTTCTTGCACACTAGTTGTTGATTAGTTGTTAGATTGTAGGCCTCACCGGTTGATGGTGTGATAGGTTGTACTTTCTAAAACTATAGTGAAAACTCTCTTTCATGTGGAAAGGAGAGTGGAGTACCTTCGGATTGTGAAGGGAACCACTATAAATCTCCGTGTTCATTTTTATTTCTGCCTTTACTGCTTTCATCACCCAGAACTTAAAGAAGAAAAATTCAAGAGTTTCGAAAAACCGGAAAAAGTTTCTAAAGCCTAATTCACCCCCCCCTTAGGCATACTCTGAACTTACAAGGTTATCAAACTGTATTTGATTCAAGCGGGTTTCAGTCACATCATCAAGATAACATCATATGGAATTGATCGCAAATTTCTTCTCGCGTTGTGCGAAAGATGGCGACCTAAAACCCACACTTTTCACCTCCCCACGGGGGAATGCACAGTGACACTTGAGGATGTCCATATGTTGTTGGGTCTCCGTGTCAATGGGTTAGCGGTTGTGGGTAACACAAACGTTAACTATGAATTAGTGGAACAACTATTGGGGGTGCCTTTGGAACAAGGTGATAGGAAGGGGCAAAGCCTTAAAATCACATGGCTAAAAAGAATTTATGGTGCTTTGAACCTAACCGATGAGTCTCCCGAGGAACATAAAATTTATAAGACTAGAATTTATTTACTATTGCTTTTTGCATGTTTTTTATTTCCTGATACTAATGGTAATACTATCCATCTTCAATATTTACCATTATTAGAAGATTTAAGTCAAGTAGGTAGCTATAGTTGGGGCGCTTCTACATTAGCACATCTATACAAAAATTTGTGTAGATGCGCAATGAAAAATGTGCATAATTTTGTTGGTTGTGGTGTTTTTATTCAAGCCTGAGGATAGTCCAGAATGCCCAGACTGTCGTCGATCAACCCCAATCCATATCACTTTCCATATGCAACAAAGTAAGTATACAAAGTTTATGTATATATTCTTTTCATCTATAATTTTTACTAACTATTTCTTTCATAGGTAGTCCGCATATGGGATGAATTACGAAAAAACTCCGCATCATTGTGCTCCTGGGTATCCGACGTTCTTCGATCATTTTGAGGAAGATGATGTATTGTCTCTAATCCCTTATTTTTTTACTAGCACTTTCCTTTTTGTTTTCTCTAATCCCTTTTTAATTATGTTATAGTTTCTATGGAGACCCTATCTTGAACTTGAAGATGAGGATCCAACTGAAAGCGATATGTGGAGTTCTACAACATTCATATTTTCTTTTACTTATGTTGAAATGAATCATTCAGATAGGGTGAAACTCCAATTCGGAATTAAACAAGGCATTCCTGGTCCACCTACATGCATGGAGAGGTACCACAAGAGTACATCGAATGACCAATGGAAATTCGATAATTGGAGAGACCATAACAGACAAGAACGTTAGCACTGGATAAATCATCGTCGCACTATTCTACGAGGAAATGTCATGGATACCGAATGTAAACCTAGTAGGGAATACATGAGTTGGTATAGATCTGTGACCAATTTGTATCTATCATAAAATAGATACTTGTGGGACCCTCGAAACCAACCAACTTCTTCAAACTTCCAAAACATCCCCTCCATGACTTGTAACACCCCACAACAAATATTTAACACCCCACAACAAATATTTAACACCAACCCAACACAACCACCTTATACCCCAAGCCAACACTATAATCAACCTTACCCATCATTTAACCCAACCCCCTTCAACATCCAACAACAAAACCCAACCTCATCATACCCCCAATATAACCAATACTCATTCTCTCAACCTATCCAACAAGAACACAACTACCAAACACGTCAACCACAAGTTTCTTTTTACCCCTCACAAAACTTCACCCTTAATTCATCTCAAGAACAACATCCATACACCCCCTACATGACTAACACAATGCCACCTTCAAACCTACCAAGTTGGAGTAACGAGGGTACAAGATTAAGTTATGGAAGTGCGGCGGCGATACCAACTGTGGACGATTTCAGTGATGATTTGGTCGCTGAATTCATGAACCCTAACAATGATGCAGGACCATCTACACAACCCCAAAATGTTGAGGTTGATTGTAGAAGATCCACCAGAAATGTACAAGCTCCTGCCTGTGGAACCCACCAACGCTTACGTCGACCGGGTCGAAATTAATTAAGGGTGAGTAAGAATTTTTAGTTCATTTATTTTAATGCACTTTTTTATTTCAAGAATAAATAAATATTTATTTTAGTTTATTTATTGTATTTTATTTTATAATTATTATTATATATTTCAATGTAGTAATTTATTTTATTTAGTACTATTTTTAAAATAATTATTTTTATTTTATTTTATTTTAATGTACTATTTTATTTTATAATATTATTTATAATTTAATAATTATTATTTATAATTTAGTAATAATAACAATTTTTTATTATTAACTAAATATAATAAATAAAACACAAAAATTAAAACGAAAATAAAATATCTCAACAATTAAACATTGTCGCCCATTGGAAGGGCGGTTCACCATGAAACAACACACAGCCGCCCATTGGAAGAGCGGCACTGTTGTGCCAATAAACTACTTTTTTTGAAAACCTGGCATTTTCGTATATATGTGCAAACAAGTGGCATTTTGGTACATATATTCCAAAAGTGTGGTAGGACAATGCAAATTTCCCAAGTTTCTAACCAAATTCTCCTTGAAGGGTTTCTTGATACTAATGGTCTGTATTACATGCCCAAGCTATCAGTGAAGCTCCCAGGACCCACTCCTTTGAATAAATACTCGTCTTATCAACCTAATTATCAAGGCTACACTGCTGTCAAGCTTAGCATAGATGAACATTTTTCTTGTAATTCTGTCAAAACTAGTATAGATAAAGTGTCTCCTTGTAATTCAATGTCTTTATGGCATCATAGACTAGGACATACCAATTACAATACTGTCAAACAAGTTCTCAAACAATGTAATGTGCCTATTCCTAATAAAAATGACTTATCTGCATGTAAATCTTGTAATTTGGGCAAAGCCCATAGACTTCATGCTCCATCCTCTACTAATGTCTATGAAAATTCTTTTAACATTGTATATTAGATTTATGGGTTCCATTTCCTAATCTTTCTAGCTCTGGGTATAGGTATTATATTTCTTTTGTGGATGGTCATACTAGGTACACTTAGGTTTATTTTCTGAAACAAAAGTCAGAGGCACTTCAAGCTTTCAAGCTATTCCATTTGTTTGTCAAAACTCAGTTCAGCACAACTATCAAGTCAGTACAGTCTGATTTTGGAGGTGAGTTCAGACCATTCTCTAAATTTCTAGCTGACCTTGGCATTACACATAGAATCACCTGTCCTTACACCTCCCACTAGAATGGTTCAGTAAAGAGAAAACATTGTCACATAGTTGAAATGGGCCTTACCTTACTTGCTTACTCATCTATACATATAACCTATTGGAGTCATAGCTTTGCTACTGTTGTCTATGTGATCAATAGGTTACCATCTTCCTCATTGTCCAACTTCAACTCTCCTTATCATGCTCTCTACCACAAAAATCCCAATTATCACACAATAAAAGTATTTGGTTGTGCTTATTTTCCACAGTTGAGACGATACAATAAAAACAAACTTCATTTCAGAAGTTCTGAATGTGTCTATTTGGGAGTATCACCTCAACACAAAGGGTTCAAATGTCTTAGTAAAGACGGGAAAATATACATTTCCAAAGATGTTACCTTTCATGAGCAACACTTTCTATTTCCACTTCTTTTTCTAGCAGAGACATCTAATTATGCACCATTACAACCTGAGAAATATGGACCTATCAAACTGATTGGTTCAGGCCCTTTATCTGAATCCACAGTCACACCTGATGGTACTAATAGCAGGCCAGTTGGCTCTATATCTGAAGCCAGACCACATTCTGACTCTTTGCCTCTTGTGTTACATCAACATATAGATGACAGTGATTATCCCAGCCCTGCTTAATCTATCTCACATAGTGCCTCCAGAATTCAAACTATGGTTCCATCACCTTTGGATCCTGTCTCTGCAGACTTAGACAAAGAGTCAGAACCAGCTCAACACATTGAGCCACCCACTACCTTGTTGAACAAAGACATTGAGAGCTCTAATGACCCACAAGGTAAAAACTTAGAGCAACCTACCACACCTAAGTCAAATAAAAATGGGCCTGATCCTCAGGATAATATAGAGGCTCTTTCAAGTAGTCATTTCCCAGAGGGTAATACACCAACACAATCTCATAGAGTGTCTGGTCACAAAGATGTGCAGCAAATTAACTATAAATCTGATAGCTTGAGTGTGAAATCCCTCTTGTCTATCTCTGATGATTCTCTCTCACCATCTATTCATAGTCATCAATCTTCCCCCTCATTTTTGGAGAATGCTCATCCAATGCACACTAGAGCCAAAACTGGACATGTAAAACCCAAGGTCTATTTAGCTCAAATACACACACATAACCTACTAGTTATAAATAGGATCTCTCTATACCTGAATGGGATAAAGCTATGCAGAGTGAGTATGATGCCCTCATTGCAAATGGCACTTGGACTCTCACTATCTTACATGTCAACAGAAAACTAGTTGGCTGCAGATGGATCTTCAAAGTGAAGGAAAATACAGATGGAAGGATCCTTAAACATAAAGCCAGGCTGGTTGCTAAAGGTTATCATCAAGATCAAGGCTTTGATTTCACATAAACATTTTCTCCAATGGTCAAACCAACAACAATCACAATTACTCTAACTCTTGGTATCACCTACAAGTGGGATGTTCAACAGATAGATGTCAATAATGCATTCTTAAATGGGATTCTCCAAGAGGAAGTGTATATGTCTCAGCCACCTGGATTTATCAAGGCTGACAAAACTCTGGTATGCAAACTCAATAAGGTCATTTATGGGCTGAAGCAGGCCCCTCGAACATGGTATGAAAAACTCACTCATGCTCTTCTTCAATTTGGATTTATTTCATCCAGGTGCGATCACTCACTATTTCTATATTGTCATCAAGGAGTTTCTCTCTATGTTTTGGTCTATGTTGATAACATCCTGATCACAGGTTCCAGCTCCATGTTAATTCATAAACTTATCACCAAGATGCATGATGAGTTTGCTCTGAAAAAACTAGGCAGACCATCTTATTTTATGGGTATAGAGGTTCATCATCAGTCCAATGGCTCTATACTCTTGACTCAATCCAAATATATAAAAGACCTGTTGACAAGAGACAACATGCCAAATGCAAATGGATTTCCCACTCCAATGCTCAGCACTTGTAAACTCAGTAAACACATCTCAGCACCCTTGGCGGATCCGTCTCAATATCGGTCTATAGTTGGTGCACTGTAGTATGTATCATTGACAAGACCTGACATAGCCTTTAGTGTGAACAAGGCAAATCAGTTTACGGCAGCACCTCTTGAGGCACATTGGTCAGTTGTTCATCAAATACTACGATATCTTAGTGGCACTTTATCTCATGGTTTGCTGTTGTCTCCATCGATCTCAGATCAGAAATTCTCCCTTCGAACTTATAGTGATTCTAATTGGGCGAGTGATCCGTACGATAGGAGGTCCAACATCAGGAACGTGTATTTTCTTTGGTTCTAATCTCATCCCGCGGAGTTCCAAAAAGCAGTCTTTGGTAGCTCGGTCAAGTACAGAAGCTGAGTATCGTGCATTGCCACACTCTACTTTGGAGTTATTATGGATCAAATCGCTCCTCAATGAGCTTGATATCTCATTTCACACTCCAACTCTGTTGTGTAACAATATGAACGTTGTGCTAATGTCTCACAATCCGGTTATGCACGCGCAGACTAAACACATTGAGCTTGACATCCATTTTGTGCGTGTACGGGTGGTGTCCAAGAATTTGCAGGTCCATCATATTTCTGCACTAGCTCAAATTTCTAACACATTGACTAAGTGTTGTACCTCAAAATTTGACCAACCGTTTCTCGCAATTTGGCTTGTGTTTCGTTTCATTTGCATATCATTTATCGCATACTGTGCATTTTGTTAGTCGAAGTGATTTATCGGGATTACAGCCTCTTTTCTCGCGTTCCAGGCAATTTAAACCAGTTCAAATAAGGAGATTTATTTTGGAATCGAGTGGAGGTTGCTCTTTCTGGTGGTCCAGTCCATGCTGGTATTTTCGGTGACATTTCAGTGTTCGCCCGTTTTTTCGTCTCTCTGTCTATGGCATGTTGTGATTTTATTTCTATAGATTTTGTTATTTGATTTTAATTAGATTATTTAATAGAGTTTTTAGAAATTAGTTTTGAATAGATATTAGAATTTATTATTTTTAGAAATTAATCTTATTAGAGTAGATTTTTTAATTGTTTTTATTTGAATTTAATAGAAGATAGTTTTTATATATAT